AGCAAAGACTTCCACAAAGAACTGTCAGGTCTTACCTTCTCAGATCTCTCTGAGATAAAGCAGATGTTTTCATCCCATTGATCCAGAGGAACCGGCCTTCCCATCCAAGACTGTGTTACCTCAAATGGCAAGGGAATAACTCCTTACAAAGATTACATGGTTTGCTATTTTTCAATCATTTCTTTTTTCACTCTCAGATGAAACACACGTGTTCATATCGGTGGGTTCAGCCTGGAAATGCCACATTCCCCAAAGCCAGGAGTCCAGAGCTCGTGGAGCCTCGAGGGGAGATGAAGGCTGATGGCACTCGGAGCTGCTTGAAAGAGGCCTCTGTAAAAGCCCATTTAATTTTTACTGTTCCATCCCCAACAAATGGCTCCTGCCCATTCCCAAATCCTCTCAGCCAGGCTCACATGGAGACTTTTATCCTGCCTTGATCTGACTTAGGCTCCACAGAGGAAATTGCTGGTTTAAGGCTGCGTTATGTAGGATATTCCGACTGAGCCTTGTGATCTTTCTCCTCGCTTAAATCCACCACTTCTGGCATGTCTGGGAAAACAAACACGTGGGTTTTCCTCCCTTGGTTATTGCTGTCATCTCTTATTAACAGTCCCGAGGCTGCAAATTGCTGAAATCCCAGGTCACCTGGAAACTCAGCCCCGGATGTGGGGTCCTGTAGCTGGATCAGGGCTGTGGCAAGCAGTTTTCAATCACTAAGGTTGTGAGCAGAAAAAGACAGTTCCATGTGTTATCCTTATGACTGTTCCTGCTTTGATATGAATTCCTTGGATTTTCCCTTTTTAAAGCTGGGGTTTCTGTTCTTTACCCCGAACTCGCCCTGCCCTACCCAAAAAGCTTAAAAGTTCAAGTTTAGTCTGAAACTAAGCTTTGGATGAGGGTCTGGAGGGACAGGACAAGGGGGAATGGCTTCACCCTCCCAGAGGGCAGGGTTAGATGGGATATTGGGAAGGAATTCTTGGCTGTGAGGGGGGTAAGGCCCTGGCACAGATTGCCCAGGGAAGATGGCAGAATGTTTAGTCCCCCAGACAGGACAACACACTGGAGC